TGCTACAGTGTTCCAGTGAAGCCCAACGCAAGCTGGAGGAACAACACGTCATTTTCCGCTTGGGGACCCTACAGCCCTCCGGACTCAATATTGAGTTCAATGAGGCACCATCTCCCATGTCCTTACCCCAATCCGCAAACACCAGGCATGTTATCGCATGGTCTGCTGTTACACACAAGCCATTGTCACGCACTAATAGTCCCCATTCATTTACCCATATTGACCTTTAACCACTCCTTTTTCTGTCCAACTGTATCTCCAAAGAGCATCTCCATCGTTTACTCCCCACACCCCTCCCCCAACTCTATCTTCTGTATAGAAAGAATTCTTTCCTAGCTGCCATCAGTTCTGAAGAAGGGTCACTGGACCCGAAACATTAACTCTGATTTTTCTCCACAGATGCTGCCAGAAATGCTGAGCTATTCCAGCAATTTCTGTTTCCGTTTTCAATTGGGCCAGGTTGCTTTTTGGGACTCTGTCTCAGTCTGGTTCACAATGTTAGAGAGTGGCAGCTGAGAAAGACAGACTTACACTCTTACAGCACCCTTCAAGCTCAGCAAATGGACAGTCTGTTTCCAAAATACCAATCTGCTTTTAAACTTTATTTGCGTGGGATCAAGAAAGTTCTATATTTCAGATTGTGTTAACCCACAGGAAGAGTTGGACACGTTCAAAACTGCAGTATGCCTCGCAGTTAAAAGTCTCAAGCTGGGTGAAGTTGGACATGTATTGGGGATGTAAGACAAGCATTACTCCACTCACTGAGGATATTCAGCTCTGCTGGGATCAATAGAACTGAACAGTGCACGAGCAGCTATAATGGGCAATCAATGTGATAACAACCATTTTGAATCCTGCAATGAACAATTTAATCCACACCATTCCACTTTGGAAAAGAGAACATAAGAACTAGGAGCAGGAGTAGGCCATTCAGGCCCTCGGACCTGTTCCACCATTTCATACGATCATGCTGATCTCATCTTGGCCTCAATTCCACTTTCCTGCCCAGTCTCTATAATCCTTCAACCCATTACTCATTAAAAGTCTATTTATCTCCCCCTTAAATTTACTCAATGTCCCAGCATTCACTGAAATCTGAGGTAGTGAATTCCACAGATTCATGACCATTTGAGCGAAGTAATTTTTCCTCATCTGTGTTTAAAATTTGCCATCCCTTATCCAAAAACTATCACCACCTGACAAGGAGATATATGTGGTGCCTGATTTGCTGCGTTAGATTTTGATTGTGACTCGATCTATGGTTGATGGAGTATGCGCTGAATTCCCTTTCAGGAAAGAGGCAGATTAAATTACAGCATGTGTAGCTGATGTACTGAGAGCAAGTTTTCTTTGTACCCTCCCTAGGCATCACTGTCACTTAACCAGATATTGGGGAGGAAAGGGTAAGCTTCAGCCCAGAGAGGATATGAGGTCCACTTCTGGAAGAAATGCTGAGCACAAGTGAACTGCTGTCACAGAAACCAGAAAACATCACAAGAACTCATCGGTTCTTATTTTGCGAAACAGAATCAATTGCAACACAATGTGGAGCTGGAGGAACACAGCATGCCAGGGTCTGACCCGAAACATTAGCTTTCCTGCTCCTCTGATGCTGCCTGACCTGCTGTGTTTCTCCAGCTCCATACTGTGCTTTCTCTGACTCCAGCGTCGGCAGTTCTTGCTATCTCTGAATAATCAATTGCAATCTTTTTTTAATGTAAAGGGAAAGTCTTACTGTTGACGAAGCCTCCTGTATATGCATCGCGATGAGTGGCATGGTAAATAGCACGACGGCCCAGATCATATCTGTAGCCGCTGTCTACAACACCATAAGCATAAACATTTCCACAACCAGTGGAAAACATATTTCCAGAGAGCCTGGTTCCATTATCATCCACATAGTACAGTCCTGGGCCCTATTTAATAAAAAACATTAATAAAAGCAAATGATTTGCACATTATTCATCAAAAATGCAAAATGACAATGTGAAAATAATCAATGTTGGACATTATAAAAATAAACATAGTTTGTTTCAGTGCTAAGGATAACATTGGCTCCTTGTGAAAAACTGAGGAGAATGTGCAAAGATATGGCATACGCAATGCAATGTGGGTAAATGTGAGGTTGTGTACTTTGGTAGGAAGAATAGTAGGAAGAGGTGAGGACTATTTTCTAAATGGGAAATGATTCAGAATCCGAAAGTCTGAGCAGTCCTAGTTCAGGATTCTCTAAGGTTAACATGCTCCTTTTGTGACATCAGGACATCCCAAAATATTGTGCAACCATTGGAAATGTAGTCTTGGTTATAATCTAGTGAAAACTGCCAACTTGGACCTAGCTACTCCCAGAAATGCTGCAATGGTAATGACCATATAATCTGTTTGACACATCAGAAAGGAGTTAGAAATACAAGAAAACAGCAGAGGAAACTTCCTTACACTTCTTCAAACAGGTTTGCAGGATCTTTTGCATTAACCTGAGAATGCAGATGGCATCTCAGTTTAACCTTTCATCTAAAAGAGAGGAGCACTGACTGTGCAGCACTCCTTCAGTCTTGCAATGAAGTAGAATATCATTGAACCTTGAGATAAAACAGCTATTAACTGAACAAAGCCGACAGCTCTAAACAGGAATTGTTTCTTTATAACTTTCACCCAATTTCTTATCATTACTTAATAATTACCCTGCTCCTACACAGAAGAATTGCTTTTGCTCTTCTAAGTTTATCAAATAATTTTTAGCTAAGTAATTAAACCACTTTGCAAAGCTTTCCACAGATGAATTAAACTGTCCCTTTCTCAAACAGTCAAGGATGTTAACATTTGCTGCTTTCTTTCTGCATTTAGTGAGTCAGCTGTGAGTCAGAAGATTGTGCGTTTGAGACCCATACCGTGGGCTTGAGCACATAGCTTAAATTGTTTGGTACGTGAGGTTGTAAAAGGATATTCAGTCAAGGTAATTGGATAGGGATAATGAAGATCAGCAATTGAAATATGGAAAAGTATTTGAGGCATCAAGGAATGTTGGATTTAAAATGATACTGTACCTTCTTATCCCAGCCGCAGATCATGCTCCCCATTGACAAACCCATCCCTCTGTATTCACACATCATATTACTCAGCAATTTGGAAGCAGCGGATACTGAGATGCGTTGCTTATTTCTCAATTTGTATAGCCTGTTGAAATATTATTTTAGCATTGATTTTAGAAGATTTAAAATCTGTTGACTGACTATGATCAGAAGTTCATTACCCAGGAAAGCAATACCTCACAAAAATCAAAATGCGTAGCCCTTGAAAGCAATGGAGAAATGAGTGGAGGACCTATCATTAGGCAGAAAATCCGTACATCTTAAATTTATGACAATTAGTCATGATCTCTTCCACAAGTGAGGAAGGGTCACTGGACTTGAAATGTTAACTCTGCATTCTTCCCATGATGCTACCAGACCCTTTCTCCAGCAAATTCTGTTTGTATTTGAGATCTCCTGCATCCACAGTTCGACGTTTTATTTTACTTCCCTATATCTGCTCTAGTGAACCCTTCACAATTTTCAAGATGTCTACCCAAGCTTCACCCACTTTTATCATTGTGAGAAAAAACAGCCCTTGGGTGACTGTCTGTGTGGCGTCTGCACATTTTCCCCATGTCTGTGTGGGTTTCCTCCAGGTACTCCAGTTTCCTCCCATAGATGTGCAGGTTATGTGGATTGGCTATGGGAAATGGAGGGTTACAGGGATAGGATCTGGATGGGATGCTCTTTGGAGCGTTGGTGTGGACTCAATGGGCTGAATGGCTTCTTTCTGCCCTGCGGGGATTCTATATTAGAAGGATGATATCAGTCCAGTCACCGATTGTACAGTCTGCTTGATTTTCATTCCCATTAACTTTGAAAGAAATTTGTGTCTTGCTGAAAAAGAGACACATCTTGGCAGACCTTTCCATCTTTAAATATGGAAACTAGGAGCAGTGATAGGCCATTCAGGCATTCAAGCCTCCTCTGTCATTCAATAGGATCGCGGATGATCATCCATCTCAGTCCCCTGTTCCTGCTTTCTCCCCATATCCTTTATGCCTTTAGCCCCGAGTGTTATATACAAATCTTTCTTGAAATCATACATATCTTGTCCTCATCAGGATAATTTGCGAGAATCAAAGTAAAAGGGAAAAACAAGTTTTACCATAATCCAAAAAGCTTTGACAAAACGTGTATTTTTTCAGCACTGCTCAAGTCCTGTATTAGTAACTAACGTAGGCAGGGATGAACAACCACAGGCAACTTAATAATGTTCACATTATACTATTAGTAGAAGTCCAACAATATCCTATGGTTTTTATCTAACTCTAAATATCTATTACATATTAAAAACTGAGAAGGAGAAACATTTATGGTTTTACCTGCACTGCTTGGCCAGCAATCTCTCCCAGTATTGACAATCAGCAGCACTTCCCGACATGGTGCCCAGCAGATAAGGGTTTATTTCAATCACTTTGTTTGCATCCACAGAAGCTGTGTAATACACAACAATTAATACTTCTATCAATTTGTCTTCACAGGTTTCTGACAGATGAGAAATCAGAATATCATGGTGTGACCTGTCAGCGATTACTGATGGGGAAGGAGCCAGTTTACTGGCTGCATGTGCTTTCGTTATTTATGGTAGATTGTAAAGACTACATCTTTTTTATTTTTGCATCTTTAAAAATTGTGATCTGAAACAAGAAAAAAAACCCAGCATTTTAACGGAATGCTGCATGGTTTGAACAGCAAGTAACCTGATCCTCTGGGTAAGCATTGTGTAAACAATGCCTTGAACAAGTAGTCATTGAAGTGTAGGCTGCAGATTAATTGGGACCCAGGGATTCTGTATTCAGACAGAGCTTTGATTGACAACAAAATGTTGATTGGTCTATGGACTAGTGACCAGTTATCAATGGCAAAGGTCTTTTGCCTGACAACCAGATTGATTCTAAGGTAACTGAACAGCTTGGGGCTGGTAACAAGAGGGGATTTGATATCCAGCCAGGATAGGAACTAGGTTTCTGTTCTCTGCAGAGTTAACCCATACGACCCTGAAGAAAACCAATTTTTCGTTTCTTCAGCAGTTGCTGTAAGGTGTGAGTTTTAATTGATAAGACAAAGACAATTTTTAAGATAACCAGCCACCCTGTGCCTCTTACAAACCAGTGGAAGCATTTACAAAAGGAAGTCGATGAAGAAACCTTCAGATCAGCGAAATTTGACCCAGCAGATCTTGTGAACAAAGATGGGTGAATTATTTTTCCAATTTTTCCTTTGTCTATGTTTGTTTTCCTTATTTGTCTGTCTGTGTGTATAAATGGATGAGAATTTAATTTGCAGTGTTATTTTGATTTGATTTGATTTATTGTTGTCACATGTACCTAAGTACAGTGAAAAGCTTTGTTTTGTGAGCAGTACAGGCAGATCATAGCAAATAAGGACTTACAGATCATAGGGTGCTTAGACAGATTGAGGTATACAAAATTACAACTGCAGAGAGCATGCACTAAGGCAAGGTCAATATTAGATTGAAATTAGAGCGGTGCATTCAGCAGTCTAATAACAGCAGGGAAAAAGCTGTTCTTGAACCTGTTGCTGTGTGTGTTCAAGCTTCTGTATCTTCTGCTTGAATGACGATGTTGCAGGAGAGCATTACCAGGGTGGGAGGGGTCTTTGATGATGTTGGCCGCCTTTCAATGGCAGTGAGAAATGTAGATGGAGTCCATGGACGGGAGTGTGGCTTCCATGATGGTCTGGGCTGTATACAGTTTCTTACAGACCTGGGCAGAGCAGTTGCTGTACCAAGCTGTTATGCACCCAGACAAAATGCTTTCTATGGTGCATCTGTAAAAGTATAGATACATCGAATTTTCTAAGCCACCTGAGGAAGAAGAGGTGTTGTTGTGTCTGTTTGACTGTCGCATCTGCGTAGGGTGTCCGGGGCAGGTGGTCAGTTACTGTCACTGCTAGGAACTTGATGCTGTTGACCCTCTCCACCTCAGCTCTGTTGATGTAGATGGGTCCTCCTCAAGCCAATTATCAATTATTTTGTTTTGCCAACACTGAGAGAGAAGTTGCTACCATTACACCACAACACCAAGCCCTCTGTATATATTAGAATCCCTACAGTGTGGAAACAGGCCCTTCAGCCCAACAAGTCCACACCGAACCTCAGAGCATCCCACCCAGATCCATTCCCCTATGACCCACCTAATATACACCCTCTACCTCCCTGAACACTACAGGCAATTTAGCATGGCCAATCCACCTAACCTGCACATCTTTGGACTGTGGGAGGAAACCGGAGCACCCAGAGGAAACCCACGCAGACACGGGGAGAATGTGCAAACTCCACACAGACAGTCGCCCGAGGCTGG